TGTAGATCTTTTTTTCAAACCATAAAGTGACTTCAATTGTGGGTTTTCCTGGAGAGACTGGCAATGCATTTCAAACATATCTTTTCCACGAAGGATCACCTTAGGATCATCCTCACTGTATACCGTTTGACAATCATTCTTCTCAATCAAACAAAGGCGACAGAAATGACGGCTACTGAATGACTCATTAAAACCAAGAATTGTGTGCATCCCTAGATTATCTCCAGTGATCTGACAGATTGTACCATATACCTGCTCATCTGAAAATGGAAGACATAGCTGTCACGATCGTCGTAGGGAATAGACCAAGGCGCAGCGTGATGAACGAACATGGTTAAACTTTATTATCTTTAGTGATAATAGACCACAATAACCAAAACAAGAAACGACTCGTGAAGTCCACGGTAACAATGACCAACACGGAACAAAAACCCACAAACACAAAGGGAAAACAGACAGTTTAAATATGGCTCCCAATCAGAGACAACCAACGACAGCTGACACTCGTTGCCTCTGATTGGGAGTCACTCTAGCCAACATAGAAATAAACACAACAGAATGAACACACCCTGGCTCAACATATAGAGTCCCAGAGCCAGGGTGTGACAGTACCCCCCTCTAAAGGCGCGGACTGCGACCGCGCCTCAACTTGAACAAAACAGGGGAGGGCTGGGTGGGCATACCTCCTCGGCGGCGGTTTTGGCTCCGGCCTTGCCACCCACCCTCCAATAAACCCCCCATAGCGCCCCTGGTCCAGTCTGGCCCCGCTGGCTGGAGCTGAACTGGACATAGCAGGAGCGGTTAGCTTCAGCTCCATAGTGGAGCAGTTGACCGGTACCTTACCAGGCACCGGTGACCCAGGCACGGGTTGTGCTGGACTGACGACGCGCACCCCTGGCTTGGTGTGTGGAGGAGGAACGGGCCTTACCAGGCTGACGACGCGCACCCCTGGCTTGGTGCGTGGAGGAGGGACGGGCCTTACCAGGCTGACGACTCGCACCCCTGGCTTAGTGCGAGTAGCAGGAACAGGCCTTACCAGGCTGACGACTCGCACCCCTGGCTTGGTGCGTGGAGGAGGAACGGGCCTTACCAGGCTGACGACTCGCACCCCTGGCTTGGTGCGTGGAGGAGGAACGGGCCTTACCAGGCTGACGACTCGCACCCCTGGCTTGGTGCGTGGAGGAGGGACGGGCCTTACCAGGCTGACGACTCGCACCCCTGGCTTGGTGCGTGGAGGAGGAACGGGCCTTACCAGGCTGACGTCTCGCACCCCTGGCTTAGTGCGAGTGGCAGGAACAGGCCGGGCCGGGCTGGCGACGTGCATCGTAGACTTGGTGCGAGTGGCAGGAACAGGCCGGGCCGGGCTGGCGACGCGCACCGTATACTTGGTGCGAGTGGCAGGAACAGGCCGGGCCGGGCTGGCGACGCGCACCGTATACTTGGTGCGAGTGGCAGGAACAGGCCGGGCCGGGCTGGCGACGCGCACCATAGACTTGGTGCGAGTGGCAGGAACAGGCCGGGCCGGGCTGGCGACGCGCACCGTAGACTTGGTGCGTGGAGCAGGGACAGGCCGGGCCGGGCTGGCGACGCGCACCGTAGACTTGGTGCGTGGAGCAGGGACAGGCCGGACTGGGCTGGCGACGCACCCCGTAGGCTTGGTGCGTGGAGCAGGGACAGGCCGAACCGGGCTGTGGAGACGGATAGGAGACCTGGAGTGAAGAGCGGCCACAACCCGTCCTGGCTGAATGCCTACCCTCACACACTCTGTGTGAGGCATCCGCACAGGACGTACAGGGCGGTGTACCCGTAACCTGGTGGCCTTCTGAATCCGCCCCTTTTCTGCCTCCGTCAGCCCCGTCGTCCATGCCGTGTGCCCCCCCCTAAATATTTTCTGGGGTTGCCTCTCGCCTGTCCGACGTTGACCCGTTTGGCGCCGCTGCTCCTCTCTACGGCGCGCCTCCACCGTCTCTTCCCACGGACGCCGATCCATCCCGGCCTGTATCTCCTTCCAAGTCCAGGATCATTTCCCGTCCAATATCTCCTCCCATGTCCAGGCTGCCTGCTCCTGGACACGCTGCTTGGTCCTTGTATGGTGGGTTTTTCTGTCACGATCGTCGTAGGGAATAGACCAAGGCGCAGCGTGATGAACGAACATGGTTAAACTTTATTATCTTTAGTGATAATAGACCACAATAACCAAAACAAGAAACGACTCGTGAAGTCCACGGTAACAATGACCAACACGGAACAAAAACCCACAAACACAAAGGGAAAACAGACAGTTTAAATATGGCTCCCAATCAGAGACAACCAACGACAGCTGACACTCGTTGCCTCTGATTGGGAGTCACTCTAGCCAACATAGAAATAAACACAACAGAATGAACACACCCTGGCTCAACATATAGAGTCCCAGAGCCAGGGTGTGACAATAGCCCTTGGCTTTCTAGTTTTTTCAAATCATTTATCAGCGGTTCTAGTATAACATCAAAACCATACTTGCGCAGATCTTGTGTGTGAAAAAGTGTTACCAAATGAATGTTCATCAAAACCGAATTAAATTTTGGTGGAAAGTTTCTTACAACAAAATAAAGAGAGCCAACTTTGTGAATTCCACGTTTGGAGCCAAGGGGATTGGCTGTTTCAAAATCATCATAGTATAGTTGGATTTGTAATGCAAGTCTATTAGCTGTAAACAAAGGGTGGGTTTTAAAATAACTTCCATCAAAAAAGTCAGTATAAGTGTCAGGCTCCGATCTACACTCTTTCTTTAGCAAAATGAATTTCTGCACATGAATTTCAATGTTTCTAAAATCGGCACATATATAAAAGTATCCTTCACAGGTACTTGATCATAAGTACCGGATTTCTGATTTCGCCTGTTGTCATATCTCACTCCCAGTGTTAGTTCTACTGGCTCGACAACTCCCCATTTTTGGTGGAAGTATTTATTTCGTTTCCATTCTGTATTTAGATTTGTGAACGGGTTTTCATAATCTTCAAAAGATTCATTTATCACAGATATGTTGGGGTCAGTTATAGGTAAAGCAGAAATAGCTGTATGCTTTGCTTGTGAGCGAATCTCACTTGTTAGTTCTTCCAAATCTCTTACAATTGAGGATACCAAACTGTTGGAAATCCCACTCTCCTGTAATTTGGCCACGATGGATGCACACATTTCTTTAGTTGGATCTTTAGTAAGTCCTGAATCATTGCTCTCAGAATAAACACTTTGTGGATTAAATGTGTCCTCCAAAGCATGTGCCTGAGATGAAGATGCAACTGGCTCACTAGATGAACATGCAACAGTTGAAGTTTGAGCAATTTGCTGAACATTACTATGAACACTATTAAGGTGCTTCCGAAAACCTGTATATGTTAGGAACTGATGCCTACAGCCTTGCTGAGAACAAAACAATTTCAACTTGGGTCCAGGATAGTAACCATGTTCAACTCTTAAATGTGAAATCAACTGTTGACTGCTGGGATAATAATTCTGACACATGAAACAGGTCAACATTGTTATAGCTTCTTACTCACAGGGTGAGAGTGCTACTGGCTGGTTAAGCAGTCTCGCTCTCAAGTCTTTAACTCTGGGTGACTCCTTCATTTTCCCCACATCAATGTCATACACTGTTGTCTGCAGGAATGTTAAAAAAATTCACAAGTGCCACATCGTAAGACAAATTAAACACAAAATGTGCTTTGAAAAGTTCATCACATGCCCCGAGGGAGCGGTTTTCCTTGCATGGGATGAGACGCTTATCCATTGTGATGTAGAAGCTCTCAGTCCTGCTCTTCCGACGCCCAACAGCGAGGAGGTACGGCTGCCGACCCTGCTGGTTGCGGAGATGCTCCTCCAAACTGCAGCGTGACTAGGGTTGAGATCAGAAAACTTAAAATTAGACACGAGAATAATGTGCAGCCACCAGAGAAAACTACATTATAGAAGTGATTTATTCAAACTTTCTTTTCATTGGCTAGTGCAAGATGGGAATGAAGACTTAATTACAATTCCATGCACTTTTTAACAACCCTCATTTACATATGTGGCTAAGAAGGTGACGTGACAAATTATTATAGTCACCTTAATAATATAATGACCTTATGAAAGACAACAAGTCTCTCAACTGCATCACATGCACTAATTTTTGGAGACTTCAGTCCCCCTGGAGGTGGTGGAAGGAGATGTAAGAGCAACAACAGGGAAGCCATTTCTTGGTCGTAGGCTGAGGACAAAGAGTCACAAGAATTAACTGAAAACTCTTCAAATGTAATACTTTTCAAGTTTGAATGAGAACAGGGAGGCATTATGAGAACGTTTTAAACCGTCATCTGTCTATTAGTCACATTTAATCCCAAAAATCAGATCAACGTTCAGAGATACACAGAATAAACAAATGAAATATTATTGCAGTTTTATTAAAATTAAAAAAAATTAAAACAACTCACTTGTTGCCTCATCAAGATCACTTCCTGGGGGACTTTCTGCTGACTGCACCAAGCGACGCAACTCTGGTGTTGAGGTGAGCCGCTTAGCCTCTTTTATGACATTTGGCTTGAAGAACAAATCCCATTTCTGAAGAAGCCTGGAGGATGTGTCGTCATCAAATAGGAGAGTGAAGTCTTGGTCCACCTTTAAAAAAGAAGATATTAAACTACTACTACTACTACTACTTCAGGAAATACTTTCACATTTTAAGCCATTCTAAACATCTCATTCCAAACTTACCAATCCTTTTGTATCCAGGAATCTTGGGAAGCTGGAGAGGATATCAACACTTCTGCCTGGGTCATGAACGAGCTTCTGACGGTGCTGAAAGGTCTCTCTCATCTTCTGGAAAATCAGGGAATTGTCTGTGGTATGGTTGAGCAAAGACATGGCCTCTTTGGCAAGCTTCACCATCAAGCTGCCTTTCAACATTAACAGTCCTTTGGAAATTTGGGCCCCCTGGAGAAAAGTCATTTGGGCTATTTGGTGGCAGTGCAGATCCTCGACGAATCTTCCTCTGGACTGTTTTCAGACGCCGAGAAATGTATCCTGTGCTGCTTGCAGCATCATAGAAGTGTTCCTGAAATGAAAAAAAAGAAAAGAAATGCGTTGTCATACCAGGCTCATGAGAAATCTCACGGAATTCAAATATCAATGTCGTCCACACAGTTTTGTGTCACAACATGACATGAAAGAGTTAACCATAATAATACCTATTACATAGCCCTTCTTGGAGTATGGATCCTTGAGGGAAGGGAACAACATCACTATCCCACGTCCATAATCTTCTCTGATTGCTTTAGTGGGGCGGTGCCTGAGAGGAGATATTAAATTAGTACATTTATGCAATGGCCATGCAGTTATTAGGCACAAATATAAACAAATGTGAAACAAACATACCCATGATTGTCAATCATGTGAGCCACCAGGATGTTAACCATTTTTCTTCTTGCAGCATCTGTTAGGGTTTCTGTTGTTTGGTACTCCTGTAGTACTTCTTCACCCCCAGACTTGCCTCTTAGCACAGCTTCAATCAACTAATAAAAAAACAAAAACATTAGAATACAAAACATGGTGATAAATAGCTTTTCTAGAGACTCAGAGTGAAAAAATGTGAAAGCATTAAGGAACCTGTTCAGCAGACACAGTATCACGTGTATCCTCAATTATTTGTCTCTTGCTAGGGACATCATCTAGGATTATAGTTGAATGCACTTGAGCTGAAGCTTGAGTCAGACGTCTCGGAAGTAGAAGACAAGGAGAAATCAGAGAATTCTAAAGGAATAGAAAAAATTCAAATCAGAGAATTCTAAAGGAATAGAAAAAATTCAAATAATTATATTATGTAAGATGTAAAGTGCTTTATTATACCTGCCTTGATCTCTCACCCTGATCTGAGAATACTGTCAGCACCACATTGCCTTGTCCAACGAGGTCGCTGAATATTTCTGCATCAACTTCTGTCCCTGTTGCATCCTTGTATATAACTTTTGCATTAGGTGGCAGGCAAAATCTCTCGATGACTGGAAAAGATAGTAAGGTCAAACTGAATGTGCCTTTGAACTCAGCACTGTTTCTTGCCTCACAGCCAATATCAAATCAAATCAAATCAAATCAAATCAAATCAAATTTTATTGGTCACATGCGCCGAATACAACAGGTGCAGACATTACAGTGAAATGCTTACTTACAGCCCTTAACCAACAGTGCATTTATTTTAAACAAAAAAAGTAAGAATAAAACAACAACAAAAAAAGTGTTGAGAAAAAAAGAGCAGAAGTAAAATAAAGTGACAGTAGGGAGGCTATATATACAGTAAAATAAAGTGACAGTAGGGAGGCTATATATACAGGGGGGTACCGTTGCAGAGTCAATGTGCGGGGGCACCGGCTAGTTGAGGTAGTTGAGGTAATATGTACATGTGGGTAGAGTTAAAGTGACTATGCATAAATACTTAACAGAGTAGCAGCAGCGTAAAAAGGATGGGGTGGGGGGGCAGTGCAAATAGTCCGGGTAGCCATGATTAGCTGTTCAGGAGTCTTATGGCTTGGGGGTAGAAGCTGTTGAGAAGTCTTTTGGACCTAGACTTGGCACTCCGGTACCGCTTGCCGTGCGGTAGCAGAGAGAACAGTCTATGACTAGGGTGGCTGGAGTCTTTGACAATTTTGAGGGCCTTCCTCTGACACCGCCTGGTATAGAGGTCCTGAATGGCAGGGAGCTTTGCCCCAGTGATGTACTGGGCCGTACGCACTACCCTCTGTAGTGCCTTGCGGTCAGAGGCCAAGCAGTTGCCATACCAGGCGGTGATGCAACCAGTCAGGATGCTCTCGATGGTGCAGCTGTAGAATTTTTTGGTGCAGCTGTAGAATAACTGTTCACGTTAAATACATACATCCACCACTGTATAATCCTTCAATAGACCTAGAGCATTTTCCCTCACATAACCCATTCCCTCTTAAGTCCAAATGTAAAAATTGATGATTGGCTTTTTTTATTGACTGTTTTGGTGTATATTAATACTTTACACTCTATGAAGCACACATTACAGAACTGAAAATGATTAGCAATTTAACCCCATTTACCGTATAAAAGAGTCTGATAAAGGCATGTAAAGAAATCAGAATCGACAACATGAAGGAGCTTGCACAATGAGCTTTTAAAAGAACATAGGTGTGGTTTAAAACCTTTTTCCTAAGCCATGCTAACCGTTTTCATGGAATTGCATAAAGTCAAACCGTCCTTCATCCTCATCCGGCTTCACATATTTCTGCTGTTGGCTGTAACTTCACCTGGACCAGCATTTTGACTGAGACATGCAAGGAAGTTTGATAAAGTAAATAAACATTTAAAGGAAGAACGGTAAAGATTAAAGCTAAGTCGACAGTGTTACACCATTTTTGGTGACCCATCAGATTCTGTGACCTGCACTGTTGGAAAAAGTACTAATTTTCAGAAAATCGCGCTGTGACTGAGATATTAAAATGCTGCTTATGCATTGACTCATCAGTATTTAATGATGCACTTAAATGTTTAATAAATCAGTCACAGCCCGATTTTCTGCTAATTTTGTACTTTAGCTTGAACTTAGTAATTTCAGTACAATTAACTGGTAATACTTTTATACTTAATATACTTAATTACTTAAGTAAATGATCTCAGTACTTTTTCCAACACTGCAGGTCATAGAATCTGATGGGTCACCAAATACAGTGGTACGCTGGTCACATAGACAACTAAACACGTGAAACACCGTCTGCATGTTGGGACATGTTTTTTGCGGCCCCTTTGATGTTCAAAGTGAAGGGGGGGAAAAAAGACATTAGCTCCAGCCTCAAAAAAGATTTTATACAGTAAAAAAACATAACGCTTTGTTTTTCCTGTCACACCCTGACTCATGGGACTCTTGTATGTTGAGTCAGGGTGTGGAGATCTATGTCATTATTTCTATGTTCACATTCTAGTTATTGTATTTCTATGTTTGGCCGGGTGTGATTCCCAATCAGAGGCAGCTGTCGCTCGTTGTCTCTGATTGGGGATCATACTTAAGTAGCCTGTTAGTTATCATTAGTTGTGGGATCTTGTTCCATGTAGAGGCTTGTATTGTGTTTAGCCTGAGGACTTCACGTTACGTTGTTTTGTTCGTGTGTTTATCGTTTTAAGAAACATGTATGCATTTCACGCTGCGCCTTGGTCTGACCCGTCCTTCAACGAATGTGACAGAAGATCCCACCAAAAATGGACCAAGCAGCGTGCCCAGGAGCAGACATCCTGGACATGGGAGGAGATCCTGGACGGAAAGGGATCCTGGATATGGGTGGAGATTTAGGCTGGGATGGATTGCCGTCCTTGGGAGGAGACAGTGGAGGCCCGGTTTAGAGAGGAGCAGCGGCAACACAGTAGGCACCGGCCGAGGAGGAAGGCCGAGAGACAGCCCCAAAAAAACATTTTTGGGGGGGCTAAAAGGGTGGTCGGGGAGCGATGGAGAGGAGGAGGGAGGAGTCCTCACGGGAGGAGGACTGGGCGCGGAGAGTGAAAGAGTCGTACAGTCGGAGATCTCTAACGTCAGTTCCCAGTCCGGTACACCTCGTGCCTGCGTCTCGCACCATGCTAGTGGTGCGTGTGCCCAGTCCGGCCCGTTCCTGTTCCTCGCACCAAGCCAGTGGTGCGTGTTCCCAGTCCGGTACGGCCCGTTCCTGTTCCTCGCACCAGGCCAGTGGTGCGTGTCGCCAGTCCGGCCCGGCCCGTTCCTGTTCCTCGCACCAGGCCAGTGGTGCGTGTTCCCAGTCCGGTACGGCCCGTGCCTGCTCCCCGCACCAAGCCAGTGGTGCGTGTCACCAGTCCGGCCCGTTCCTGCTCCTCACAACAGACCAGTGGTGTGTGTCCCCAGTCCGGCCCGGCCCGTTCCTGCTCCTCGCACCAGACCAGTGGTGCGTGTTCCCAGTCCGGCCCGGCCCGTTCCTGCTCCTCGCACCAGACCAGTGGTGTGTGTCCCCAGTTCGGCCCGGCCCGTGCCTGCTCCCCGCACCAAGCCAGTGGTGTGTGTCCCCAGTCCGGCCCGGCCCGTGCCTGCTCCCCGCACCAAGCCAGTGGTGTGTGTCCCTAGTCCGGCCCAGCCCGTTCCTGTGCCTCGCACCAGACTAGAGGTGCGTGTTCCCAGTCCGGCCCGGCCCGTTCCTGTTCCTCGCACCAGGCCAGTGGTGCGTGTTCCCAGTCCGGTACGGCCCGTGCCTGCTCCCCGCACCAAGCTAGTGGTGCGTGTTCCCAGTCCGGCCCGACCCGTTCCTGCTCCTCTTACCAGACCAGTGGTGCGTGTTCCTAGTCCGGTCCGGCCCGTGCCTGCTCCTCGCACCAGACCAGTGGTGCGTGTGTCCAGTCCGGCACGGCCCGTGCCCGTTCCTCCGGTGCCTGATCCAGCTCCGGTCGGTTGCTCCACTCCGGAGCCAGAGCAGTCCGCTCCACCGGTGCCCAGTCCAGCTCCGGTCAGCAGTTCCACTCCGGAGCCAGAGCATTCCGCTCCACCGGAGTCCTAGTCCAGCTCCGGTCAGCTGCTCCACTCTGGAGCTAGAGCAGTCCGCTCCACCGGTGCCCATTCCAGCTCCGGTCAGCGGCTCCATTCCGGAGCCAGAGCAGTCCGTTCCACCGGGGTCCAGTCCAGCTTCGGTCAGCAGCTCCACTCCGGAGCCAGAGCAGTCCGCTCCACCGGGGTCTAGCCATTTCCGGTCAGCAGCTCCACTCCAGAGCCAGAGCAGTCCGCTCCACCGGTGCCCAGTCCAGCTCTGGTCAGCGGCTCCAGTCCAGACCCAGACGCCAGCCCCTCTCCAGGTTCGAGGTCTCCCACACCAGGGCCCAGACAGGGCGCATTGTGGGAGGAAGGAGAGGGGAAGCAGCGCGCCGAGGTCCAGACCAGACCAGGGGCGCAATGGGGAGGCTGAGAGAATGTGGTCGTCACGCCCGGATCCACCTCCGAGGCGGAATGCCCACCCGGACCCTACCCTGTTATGTCAGGTTTGTGCGGTCGGAGTCCGCACCTTTGGGGGGGGGGTACTGTCATGCCCTGACTTATGGGACTCTTGTATGTTGAGTCAGGGTGTGGAGTTCTATGTCATTATTTCTATGTTCACATTCTAGTTATTGTATTTCTATGTTTGGCCGGGTGTGATTCCCAATCAGAGGCAGCTGTCGCTCGTTGTCTCTGATTGGGGATCATACTTAGGCAGCCTGTTTGTATCATTAGTTGTGGGATCTTCTTCCATGTAGAGGCTTGTATTGTGTTTAGCCTGAGGACTTCACGTTACGTTGTTTTGTTGTTTTGTTCGTGTGTTTATCGTTTTAATAAACATGTATGCATTTCACGCTGCGCCTTGGTCTGACCCGTCCTTCAACGAACGTGACATTTCCTTTATTAAATCATCATTGATAAAGTTGGAGACGGTTTAGTAACAAACTGTTAGCTAGCTTACCCTTCTAGCTAGCTAATCACCAGGACCAGGACACTTCTAGCTAGCTAATCACCAGGACCAGGACACTTCTAGCTAGCTAATCACCAGGACCAGGACACTTCTAGCTAGCTAATCACCAGGACCAGGACACTTCTAGCTAGCTAATCACCAGGACAGATTTGCTGCTCAGTCCTGGCAACAAACACGGTTTTGTTAGGCATATATTCTCTGTAGATGTTTCATTGTTCATACTGAAATTCTCAGCATAAATGTATAATTGTTTCAGTAAGTTTGAGTTAATTGCACTTACCGTGTAGTACTGCATGGGAGGGAGAAAATGGCGCCGACTTGTCTCCTCTGTCTCCAACCGAAGAAGTGAAATGCATGGGCGGAGCTTAATTACATCTCTGCGGAGTTGGGTTAACACTGACCGGATCAACTCTGTCAAATAACTCCAACACTGAACACCATTTAAATCAGAATGTGTTAAAATTACACTCTGGGAGTGAAAATCAACTCGGAAATGTTTAACCCTGAAATTTCAACACTCCAATTTTTGCTGTGTATCATTTCAAAGACTGTCAACTTTTACTTGAACATGTACTGTAAAGTACAACAGCTGAGATAGGACATACCTAGCCCACTAGATGACTGGATTGCAGAGAAGAGAAGGGGCTGTGAAACCAGATGGATAGAGCCACAGGGGTGAGAGAGGTGTTAGGGACAAAAAGCAGTTTTTCCAGCCAGAGGCTTTATCTAGTCTGTTAGTGCTGTTTATGAATCAACATTTACAGCACTGTATTTTTACAGATTTGTTTTTGTAAGTTTGTTTATTTTATTTTTTTATCTCTCTGTCCTCTGCTCTCTCTCTCTCTCTCTCTCTCTCTCTCTCTCTCTCTCCTCCTCCTCCTCTCTCTCCTGCTCTCTCTCTCTCTCCTCTCTCTCTTCGTCTCCCTGCTCTCTCTCCCTTCTCCTCCTCCTCTCTCTCTCCTCTCCCTCCTCTCTCTCTCTCTCTCTCTCTCTTATTTTTAATAAATTTACAAACTTTTCTAAAAACCTGTTTTCGCTTTGTCATTATGGGTTATTGTGTGTAGATTGCTGAACATTTTTATAATATTGAACCCATTTTAGAATAAGGCTGCAACGTAACAACATGTGGAAAAAGTGAAGGGGTCTGAATACTTTCCGAATGCACTGTAGATGCAGCTTTGCTGGTTGCATCCCATTTCCCAGATCATTCATAAAAATTGAGAACAACACAGGAGCTAAAATGGAATTCTGGGGAACACCTTTATTAATCTCAAGAAAGCTAGACTTGTGATTGTCAGTTTATACAAATTGTGTTCTGTGAGAAAGATAGTTCCTAAACCTACAAATGTTAAACTGACTTGACCATCTATATCCCTGAATGTTAATGTTGACTGAAACAGCAAGGGGAGAGGGGTGGGAAAGAATCAGCCATAAACATTAGAAGCTCCTACTCCTAGCCCTGTGGCACAGGGCAGGGCGTTGGGGCTTTCCTAGTTTGACTTCAAATTAAGGAACTCCACATAGCTTGATCATTACTGTATATATCTTCTTTTTTATTACCATTAGACCAGATTAACTACAGCACACATATTTTAGGATTTAGAGATTTGTATCTTTCAAAGACTGTCACTTTATACAACGTGTACTGTAAGACAACAGCTAGAGATGGACATACCTAGCCCACTAGAATGAGGATTGCAGTGAAGGAAGGGCTGTGAAACAGATGGTAGAGCCAAGGGGTGAGGAGAGGTGTTAGGGACAAAAAGCAGTTTTTCCAGCCAGAGGTTTATCTAGTGTTAGTGCTGTTTATGAATCAACATTACGCACTGTTTTGTACAGATTTGTTTTGTAAGTTAGTTTATTTTTGTTTTGTATATGGTCGAGGAGGCATCGAGGAGAGCGAGCAGACGAGGATCGAGTCGGGACCTGAAAGAGAGATCTCTCACAGTCTTGAACGCGTTAGGAGCTCTCCCTCTCTCTATTTTTAATAAATTTACAAACTTCTAAAACCTGTTCGCTTGTCTTAGTTGTTGGAGACTGCTGACATTTCTAATTCTGCCCCCATTTTTGCATATTTCACCCTCACCCGTACAACCTCACATCATGTTAGTTTTGCAGCGGTTGGGCAATAGAGAGATGTGGATCTGTTGAAGTACCACAGATGGTTACGGCAACCTGCTGAGCACCAATACAAGATCAAGGTGTTGCAGAAACTAAGATTATGAAGAGGATCGACCGAAAGACAGCCTACATTTCACATTCCATGGAGATATGTCAGTGAAAGACAGAGAACACCTTTTTCACATCCATTAGAAAGTCCGATGAGTGCATGCTTTAAATTTGGCGTTGTATGACCCTATCTAATCTCTAACAAAGTGTTAAATGACTTGACCAATCTAATCTCGTGAAATATTATTGACAACCTTAAAATAATAAATTCGTGATATAGGGTGAGGTTAGTATCAGCCATAACATTAGAGCTCTACTCCTAGCCCTGTGGCACAGGGCAGGGCGTTGGGGCTTTCTATGTTTGGACTTCCAACATTAAGGAACTCCAATCATAGCTTGATCCTTTTACTGTATATATTCTCCTTTTTTATTATTACCATTTAGACCAGATTAACTACAGCACACATCATTTTAGGATTTTAGACTGATTTTGTATATTTCAAAGGACTGTCCACTTTTACTTGAACGTGTACTGTAAAGTACAACAGCTGAGATAGGACATACCTAGCCCACTAGATGACTGGATTGCAGTGAAGAGAAGGAGCGAAGGTGTGCTGGTGTGAAACCGAGGATTGAGATAGAGCCAGTTGGGGGGTGAGAGAGGTTGTTAGGGACAAAAAGCAGTTTTCCAGCAGAGGTGTTACTAGTATGGTAGTGATGTTGATGAATCAAATTTACAGCACTGTATTTTTACAGATTGGTTATTAGTGGTAGGTAGTTTGGTAGGGTGGAGAGCGGAGTAGAGGAGCAAGACAGCAGTATAATTAGCTAGGAGCAAAAAGACAGCAGAACTCTCTCGAATGAAAAAAGTCTCTCCATCTCTCTCTCTCTCTCTCCCCACCCCTCTCTCTTTCTCTTCTTTCAACCCCTCACCCCTTGTACAACCTCACATCCATGTTAGTTCTGCCTGCAGTCATGTTGGGCAATAGAGAGATGTGGATCTGTTGGATGTACCCACAGATGGTTACGGCAACCTGCTGAGACAAGAGAAGACAAGGTGTGTGCATGAACTACTTAAGATGTTATGAAGAGGATCTGACCTGAAAGACAGCCTCTCAGTTTCCACATTCCATGAGATATGTCAGGATGAAAGACAGCAGAACCACTCTGTTTCCACATTCCATTAGATAAGTCACGATGAGTAGCATGCTTTATAACTCTTATGGCACGTTTTATGGCCCTATGCTATCATCTCATGACAAGTGAAAGTGTATAAATATTGACCTGACAATATCTTTACTGTGCAAATATATTACTTGACCCAACCTTAAATAAGTAAATAAATCTCATGTTCATGATATTTTACTTCATGAGTCAAAGGTGTGTTTGGTGATTCGTGCATGCGTGTGTGTGTGTGTGTGTGTGTGTACGTGTGTGTGTGTATACGTGTGTGTGTGTGTGTGTGTGTGTGTGTGTGTGTGTGTGTAGTTCATGGCCACTGGGGGCCTCAGTAGACAGGAGGATGTCTGTCTCTGTTGCCTCTCTTCTCCATATTACCAGCGTTACAGCACCCACCTCTCAGCCGGACAGACTCTTTGTGATGGGTGATTTGAAGGAGTCAGGCGCAGGAGGGTAAATCACAGAATAACAGGATTTATTCCGGAATAAAGAGTTACTCAGTAAATGCGTCAAAACATTCCAGTGTGCAAAACAGGCGCACTGGAACCAACAAGGCACGCAGGGAAAATAACCCGGCGATACAAAATACAAGGAGCTCCAGCGAGCTTCACTATCCTCACAATAAACAATCACACACAAAGACAAGGTGGCAGAGGGAACACTTATACAGGTACTGATGAGGGGATATGAACCAGGTGTGTGTAATAGACAAGACAAAACAAATGGAATGATGAGATGAGGAGCGGCAGTGGCTAGAAGGCCGGTGACGACGAACGCCGAAGCCTGCCCGAACCAGGAGAGGAGGCAGCTTCGGAGGAAGTCGTGACACTCTTCTCTATATTACCAGTGTTACAGCACCCACCTCTCAGCCAGACAGACTCTTCTCTATATTACCAGTGTTACAGCACCCACCTCTCAGCCAGACAGACTCTTCTCTATATTACCAGTGTTACAGCACCCACCTCTCAGCCAGACAGACTCTTCTCTATATTACCAGTGTTACAGCACCCACCTCTCAGCCAGACAGACTCTTCTCTATATTACCAGTGCTACAGCACCCACCTCTCAGCCAGACAGACTCTTCTCTATATTACCAGTGTTACAGCACCCACCTCTCAGCCAGACAGACTCTTCTCTATATTACCAGTGTTACAGCACCCACCTCTCAGCCAGATAGACTCTTCTCTATATTACCAGTGCTACAGCACCCACCTATCAGCCAGACAGACTCTTCTTCTTTCTTCCAAAACAGAACACATATACAGTTGAAGTCGGAAGTTTACATACACCTTTGCCAAATACATTTAAACTCAGTTTTTCACAATTACTGACATTTAATCCTAGTAAAAAATCCTAGTCTTAGGTCAGTTAGGATCACCACTTTATTTTAAGAATGTGAAATGTCAGAATAATAGTAGAGAGAATGATTTATTTCAGCATTTATATCTTTCATCACATTTCCAGTGGGTCAGAAGTTTACATACACTCAATTAGTATTTGGTAGCATTGCCTTTAAATTGTTTAACTTGGGTCAAACATTTCGGGTAGCCTTCCACAAAAAGTTGGGTGAATTTTGGCCCATTCCTCCTGACAGAGCTGGTGTAACTGAGTCAGGTTTGTAGGCCTCCTTGCTCGCACATGCTTTTCAGTTCTGCCCACAACCTTTCTATAGGATTGAGGATCAGGGCTTTGTGATGGCCACTCCAATACCTTGACTTTGTTGTCCTTAAGCCATTTTGCCACAACTTTGGAATGATGCTTGGTGTCATTGTCCATTTGGAAGACCCATTTGCGACCAAGCTTTAACTTCCTGACTCATGTCTTGAGATGTTGCTTCAATATATCCACATAATTTTGCTTCCTCATGACGCCATCTATTTTGTGAAGTGCACCAGTACCTCCTGCAGCAAAGCACCCCCACAGCATGATGCTGCCACCCCGTGCTTCACGGTTGGGATGGTGGTCTTCGGCTTGCAAGCCACCCCGATTTCCTCCAAACATAACGATG